TTTTTTTTTTTTTAAGAGACCTGAGAACTTTATGGTGAAATGGTATTCCTTGTTCTGATGTGATATCTTGGCTTAGAGGTCCTGCCATTTTGGAAAATCAGAGACCCACCTGAAGAATCTCCTTTCTCCTACTCCCCAACCAACACGACAAACATGCTGTTATGTAAAAGAAAGATACATGTATGATAATGCCTTTCCCTGGTGGTGAGGACATAGTGACCATGAAAAAACAGGCAGCTCTAAAACCAGCAAGTGCCCTGACAACACTATGTGGTTTGGATATCACCACACTGAAGTCAATCGAGCTCATGCCAAGCTGTGGAATTGACAGCTCCTTCCATGGCCCTAAAACTGACTCTCCCCCACACCTCCCAGCAGGGTCACATTTTCGTACCTGACTGTAATTCACATTATAGAGAGGGACTGATTGATCAGGATTTGTGCATATTTTCTTCTGGTGGATTATACTCGGAAGGTCTTACCTAGGTAAAAGCGCTTGTTGAATGAAGAAGGAGGGGTGTCACAACAGAGATGTCTGAATTTGAATAAAGGCATAACGAATACAGAAAAAAAAAATCATATGTTTGGGGGAAGGGAATTTAAAGCAAGATTTTTAAATGTATTAGTTCCTGTGGAATTTGATGCATACTATCTTTAAAAGTCTTGCAGCCTTTATCCCCAAATTCTTCTGTCATGGCTTGATTATTTTACAGGTGCCAGATATGCAGATTTGGATACCAGTTGTACTATCTGTATTTGCTGTATTTTATCCTCCATACTGCCAAAGGCCAATGATTTGCAGCTGAGTATGAAAGGAAAATTGGATTCAGCCTGAAACACAGCTGAGAGGAAGGGAGCAATGAGCTGTGCTCTTGTTTATACAAGTGAGTTAAAAAAACCTACCATTTGACAGCATGCTGTATAGTGATACCGTTACACTCAAGGAAGAATGCATTCCCTGCAAGTACTTTAAAGTCAGAATTTCAGACACACAACTTGGTAATACAAACTGTAAGCAACAGCAAAATGGTTTATTACTTGACCGTTGTTCCTCTCTCAGTCGGGCAACCATAAAACTGGTCACAAAGACCACCCAAAACTGTCTCCTGCATGCAGTAGCTCAGGAGAATTTTTTGCATGTTGGTGCCTTGGATAAGAAACTGAATGCAGGATAATGAAAATGAGCCATAGGAAGAAAAAAAGAAAAAAGAAAACAGTGAAAAAGAGCAGGCATACACAGGAACTGAGGAGAGGAATGATAAAAGACAATGAAGCATTAAGTCTATGGCATATAGGTTTTCCACAGCATTGTATTGTACTGGGAGATAACAATATGTTAAAGTGTATTAGCCTTAATTCTAATTAACAGAAGGCGTTTGAGAAAATTACTTAGTGTCATTGTACCATTCCCTGCTTAGGGCTGGCAACTTGTCTCAGTCCCTTCTGTAACTTCTTGCGTCGGAACTCATGTCTAAAGCCAAAGACGTCTCCATGGGGAGGCACTTTGTGCCCACTGGATCTGCACTGAGAACTCTGTATTTTGAAAAGTTCCCAGTTATATTTCCCTTCTTAGCTCTGGTGTCATGAACCAAAGGCTTTTGGCATCACCGTCAGATTTACACACTTCGTGTCCTCAGTCCATACAGAGCTTGAAACATTACTTAATGAGCTACGACTGGCCTCAGGAGTCACGGCCGCATTGACCGGCATTGACAGAGCAGAAGAAAAGTAATTTAACTCCATGATGAATCTGTAAGAGGTACCTGGCCAAGACCATCCTCTCACACGTTATTACAGGTGACCAGAGTGGAATCGCAAGGGCTCACCAGCCGCTCAAGGTGCGGGCAAGAATCAGCAGCTTGCCTTGCTACAGCCTCTGTAAGGAAAAGCGGAGATGCCGGAGTCTCCCGCGCTGTTTTGGAAAGACGGGAGGGGACCGGGAGCCCCAGGGGCGGGCGCGGTGCCCGTCCTGGCTGGCTGGAGATTACGCTGCGTGGGCGGCAGGGCCGGTGCCCAGGGCTGCGCGGAGCCTCGGCGCGTGCTCCCGTCCCGGAGGTTCCCGTCCCGGAGGCTCCCGTCCCGTTTCTTTTCTCTGGGGTGTCCCCTGACAGGGATGAGCTGGTGCCTGCGACAAGCAAACACCGAGCCCGCAAGCATCCCCTCCACGACAGTGCCTGCCACCCCCTTCAGCTGGGGCGGCAGCCCGGTGCCCACGGTGCCTCATCCCGCGTTCTCCACAGCAGCCTGCAAATAGCTTAATACCCTTAACAGACCTCTCGCAAGTTTTGGAGGTATCTATTCCCCTCCTCCCTCTGATTTTTAGTGTAATTGCCGTGACTACGTTGGCACTGCAGCTTGGATAGGGTTAGCAATAAAAATCACTACATGGAATCTGGAGGTAAACTGCGAAGTGTGAGCAGGCTGAATTTGCCAACTTTTGACGATTTAGGCCTCCATAAATTGCCTCACTAGCATTACGCGTTTTGTAATTGTTGTAAAACGCATTCAGGAAGGTTTTTCGGCTGTGCGTATTACGACACATTGTAACATCACTTTGGCACCACTATCAAACCGTATTGTATATTAGATATAGAACTAAAGATTATGCAAAAGAAGGTTATTCATGGCTTTTAGTCAATTCTTGATTAGTAAGACTGCTGTGTTATGCATAATAATAATATACAAAATGTTTATCCTGAGGAGCCGTTATCCAATACTTGCACAACTCTAATCTGAATTCCAAGAAGGACCATCCACAACAGCAAATGCGAAATTAACAGCAGAAGTTAATGGCTATTGAAAATTTTGTCCTCTTTTGAAGCTTAGATCATATTTTAAAACAGAATCAAACAGAAGGACATCACAGCAAAATATGATAAAAAATTATTTTAAAAGCCAAAAATGCAGCACTCCCTGAAAAGTGAAGGAACATTTTTAGGGGAACCCTTGCACAGCATTTGAAAGTACAAACACCAAGATTTATTCCTTTTGATGTTACTGAAAGAGGAGAATTACCATATAGAAAAGGTAAGAATTGACTGGAAGAACATCTGGAGGGTGTTGCAGAAGCATTTGCAGGCATGTCTGTGAAAGAATATGCCTAGAAAGTATCTGAAGTTGTTGACTCTCAACGTTTTTGTGAAGTTTGTCAGTGCTGTATTAAACTAGCTATTATGACCAGGGGCAACATACTTTAATTAGCTTTGATTTTTGTTATGTAACATATTCAGTGTATTTGAAAGATGATGGATTGAGACTGAAGCAGGAGATCTTCTCTCCATCTTCCTATGAACAAAGTACACACCTGCTCTCCTGTCAATGCCAGAGCCTTCCAAGTACCCAGAGCCGACAATTCCAATAGTAGTATTGTTCACTTTGATACAGAAACACCATACAGAAACGTTGCTTCAGGAAAGTAACTGAAATTGGAAGGAAAAACTAAATGGCTTGTTTCAGTCAGAGACCTCACTGTAGTAGAACAGAGAAGTGGACAAAAGTTTCCATTTCAAAGTGCTAATTTGGAGTGAGTAGGAAGAAAGCAGCAAGAAAAAAAATGCTATCCACAACCATTTCATGGCAAACACTACCAAAGCCAAATACTGAAAATTTCAGGGGAGTAAGACCATAAATAAAGAACGCCATTACTGCCGCTTTGACTCACCACTTGCCTAACACCAGGCAAAAAAAGCCTAACCCGCAATTCCTGTGCAGAGCCTACAACTCGGTCTCAGGGCTAAAATATACTCGAATGATAGAAAGTCCATCTCACGTTCAGGTAAGCTGCTCTGGAAGTTATTGACACTGTTAAAGCCTTTTCCCATACCTTTAGTGAGAATTTCCTTGACATGAATTTCCTTAGCTTCCATGCTACAAGGGATTTCATAGGATTTTTTTCTTTTATAGATTAAAGAAGGATCAGCTATTCGAAATCTTTTCACTATTTAAGCTGTGCTCACCTTATAACCTTTTTTTCTTTTTTTTGGGGGGAGGGGGGGAGGATATAAACTGAATAGCTTAAGTCCTAAGCTGCTTAAGAGCCTCTAAGCCTCTTATAGTAGGGGATGTTTTCTACAAACTGAACTCTTTTGCAGCTTTTCTTCTGACTAACCTCCAAATTTTCACATGCTTTCTGAAATACGGACCACAAAACCAGACACAGTGTTCCACTAACTGCTTCCCTTATACTTTTTACAGAGGAAACAGGGCGACCTGGTCCCTACAGTCTTGCAGTAGACCACTGGGTCTCATCTTTAGTCACTTCTTGTAAGTCTTACTCATTTGGACCTGGATAATGAGTATGAACTTTGGGCCAAGCACAGATAAGTTATGTAGGAAGCACCATCCCGACCCTCCCCTGACAACCAGTAAATTCAAGAGTATCCTGAAAGCAGAGTTTTGTCTTCTTTTTTGCTGTGTGCCAGAGAGCCCAAAGTGAGGATCCTGGGAAGCTAGTTAGGTGTCTCACTTGGGAAAAAAAAAACATGGGAAAAAAACATGGTATAGTATCATCAGGATCATGATACTATCATAGGGTGTTTCAGATAAACATTTTAAAGAATTAGTCCTTTAAGAGTTTTTTTCATGTTTTTGTTGGTCGATTGAGGATTTGCTGTATTGACACAGTGCATTGTCACAGTGCCATGACACGGGATGCTAAAAAAATATTACGTGTAGAATAGTACAACATATATTTTAGCATGCATTGAATAAACATCATTGTTCAGTGAAGGCACAAAGTCCATGGGATAACCATTCTGCCGTAACAGTAAGTGAACCAAAGCATGTAAAAAATGAGGAGATGCTAAAGAGGAAAGAGAGAGAGAAGCAGTTATGGCAAAAAAAACCCAAAACCAAAAAAGATTAAAAACTCATCTATCAAAATATTTTTAGATTATTTCTTTACAAAAGCAAATAATTATATGAGACAATGAGTTTAGAGTGGTCCACTAGCCAACACTCAACACAAGGCTTTTGAGACATACTATTCCCTACTTACTTACACATTTAGAGGTTGCCAGGCAGGCCACTGTGCTTTTGCCTTGATGACTGTTAAAACCTCATCGCTCTGTGAAAAGAGAAAAAACAAGAAAGTGGTTGGGACAATTCTACAATGAGAGTAATATGATTTAGAGCAAAAAAGTAAAAGGCACTAGATCAGACTGTGCCTCCGAATTCTGACTATGAGAAATACGCTTTATCCTTTTTGTTATCCGGGCACCTCGTGTCCTCGACTGCACAGGGCTCATCAAGGAGCCTATATGAATGCAAGAGGCAAGAACGGCAAGCAAAGGCAGTCAGACCTTGGGCAGTCTCTTTCTCCTGCAGGAACTGAAGGGAGCTTAAAACACCAACAGGAGCTCAGAGACCATGTTATTTTTGCATCTTGAGCTGAAGGGAAAGCTTTCAGAGTGGTGCACAGTGATGACAGGTATGAATAAGGAAATCTTTGCATTGGGAAAATACCCCAAACCAATATCACCAAACTGAGTTTGTTCTGGTAACACTATCACAGAAAGATAACTGTGCTGTATCTTGGTCCACATGTGGTAATACACTGGCAAAAAGTACATCCTGGGCTGTTGATTTTGTGACTCTGACAATCCTTGCGGCCAGAGGAATTTACCAGGTTAAAGCAAGCAAAGGCAGAACAATTGCTCTTAAATCGTTACAGATACACGGGCCAAGAGGCAGGCAAAACCCAGATTGCTGCTAGGCAATCTAACACACCCTGTGACCATGTATGATACGTTATTTATTATGCTCACATATGTAAGGATGTAAAGAGTCCATGGTGGGTGCACTACAATCTCCTTTAAGTAAAGCCATTGATAGCACTTTCTCTTTACTCTCCATTTTCTCACATAATCATTACAGGGTGAAATATAGCACCCACCTGTGGTAGCCTATAGTGTGGCAAAGCATTGTACAAAGATTATTTCCTAAAGTCTGTAGGAATTCCTGCATCAGCAGTTTTAAACTTTATATTGGTACAATAAACCCAGGACAAAGGCAGGAGACCATTAACAAGGCTCTGATGCCCAGAAGACATCTATCATGCTTTTTCAGAAGCATTTTCTCCATCTCCCTTAGGAATCCACCCCAGTAATTCACCTAGAGGAGCACAAAGTTCACAACTCACTCACATGATTTCTACTGTCTTTTAAAAATATTTCCCAATTAGACTAAGAAACCCACCTCATACATTACCAGTAATTGGCACTTCCAACAGAGATGACCTTTCAGTTTAGTGATAATAGTGCCATTTCATGCTTGATAGCAATAGTTTTGATACCCCAGACAAACTCTAGCCCATATAAACCTCTGTGTAAAGAAAACAATATTCACAGGTTGTTTCTATCACTCTCAATGTTTTCTGACTCTCTCTTTTTAGCAAAACAAGGTAATTACAGCACTGATGGGCCCTCTCTGTAATACACAAGGTTTTCAGTCTCGGGAATGCATAAGTGACATGACCTTTCCCTCAACCGGAGTGGAGGGACAAGCCATTTCTCAAAAACCTTTTTTAAAAATACAGATGCTTGGACAAAGGCTATACTACATTAAATGTCTTGAGCCAAGATAGCTGAAAGTCTGACTCTATGAATGCAAGTACAAAAAGATTTAATCAAACTCCCGTACTACTAATATAGTTGGAATAAAGAGAATTTTATGATGAAAGGGAGCAATGAAACAGCACGCAGCAGAGCTCTGGCAGGGACAGGCCCTGGGTGAGTGGCAGCAGGCTGAGCTGCCAGCACAACCCTCTCCCAGCCTTCGCGTTGGGCCGGGCGGAAGCGAGCAGAGACACACGCGATACAGGAGAGATGCGTCACATCTAAGTTCATCTATGGCAACCTTCTCCTTACCTCTATGCCTTCAAAAGTGGAAGAGACACCTTTCCCCTCAAAGTGATTTAAAAGGAAACTGACTAAATGAATGAAGTTAAAAAACATTACTTGTCTTCCTCTGCCAGTGGAATTTGCCTTAAGTTTTGATTTTCCTTGTTTCAACAGCCTCAGAATCTCCAGCCAGGCATATTTGAAGACGTCCCAGCTCACTGCAGGGGGGTTGGACTAGATGACCTGTAAAGGTCCCTTCCAACCCAAAGATTCTATATGTTCATTTACTTGCCTTGAGAGCGCATTTGCATTCAAAATTGTTAACTCTGTATTGTACATCCCAAAGAAAGTCTGTTAAGAGCATAGATGGTTACGTTTATTAAAATAATACGCTGCTCATCTATAGAAGCCAGTAATTATGTCAGTAACATCCAAATCGCTCATGTCTGAAAGCATTTTAACATGTGCTATCCAAATTAAAAATGCACACCAAGAGTGGATTGAACGATGATTAACAGTTTAGCAGTAAGCGCAGAGGGAAGGAAATAAGGATCAGAACACGGTGCATTCAGACATCCCCAAATTTTTAAGGGAGGTGAAAATTCAGATGCAAGAGCTGAATTCATGGCCACTTCCTGAACAGTAACCAAAATCAAAAGATGCAAAATCCAGTGTTCTGTTTGGCCTGGAATGAAAACAGGCATTTTTGGTACCTGGACTTCCTTGACAATTACACAGGATTAAGCTGCAACTTGAATTAAGTAATTGTTATTCCAGACTGATATTCTAATTATGCAGTCATCTTTATCATGCAGATTTGTAATAGCTCTAATTTAAAAAAAAAAATTAAAATGTAACACCTATACTGTTATTAATGTCGGTGGATATTTACTTATACATGCACTGATAGACAGATACCTGAGCAGATGTTTTGTAGACTAAAGAGCATTGCTTGGACAAATGTTTAAGTCAAGAAGATGAAATCCTGGAAAATGATACAGTAAATTCTGCTTGCTGCCTCCTTTGGTCTGTGAGGCTGTTGCCATGTGAAGTCTGGATGACAGGCTTTGTGCCAGCCTGGGGGACCCAGCTCCACTCGCCACTCGTGGTGCCACCAGCCCGCACGCCTCCAGCCTCCTGAAAGGAGCAGGCCTGGGGGAGCTCCTCCAGAAAAGAAGTGACCTTCCTCTACCTCCAACCTCTCCAGCTGACCTCCGTGTTTTTGAGAGAATGTGATAAACTTAAACAGCCCAGGCAAACAGATGCTATCAATCAACCACACAAGGTACTGCCACGTGAACGATCTATAGATAGGGAGCAATCTGTAGAAAAGACACAGTGGTTGGAATTACTGGCCAATCTCATTAGCTATAATTTATTGGCAGATGGTAGAAACTGAGAGGATATGAAATGCCTGAAAAGAAACCCACTAATTAATAATATATAATTAGCTGATATAACCCAACTGCCTTGAATAAGGCAATTGCAGACTTTACAGTGGAGGCATATAACACCACATCATTTTTAGGAATTTTAGTTAAGATTTTCGTAGGGCTTGCTGTATTACATCTGTACCCATTTTTCTCTCCTCTTCACATTCCCAAAGTTTTCTTTGATTTTTGAAGTAAACAAACTCTTAAATTCATGTCAAAATATGGCAAAAGGAATTAGGATGTTTCACGGTTGTATGTTGCAAGTTGTCTTGTCATCATTCATGTATTTGGCTGGGAAGCAATGATTCCCAAGGAATGACACAGATTTTTAAAAAGAAAACTAGATGACTTGCAAAATGATGGAATGTCAAAATGTTACAGTGTCAGAACAAATTAAAGGGAGAGGCATCAATGCTCTTGCTTGGAGCTGCCGAAAATCCTTTACCTAAAGTCTGATACACACCTCTTCCAACAACAAAAGGAAACAAAAGAGAAAAAAAAAAAAAAAAAAAAAAAAAAAAAAAAAAAGAAGAAAACTGTCAAGCCTATGTTATGCCTCTGTGCATGTAGAAGTTTTAAAGAGTGAATTTGGGACTACCTGTCAGTTGTTATAGAGATACAGAGGAGGAAACTTGCTGCCCTCTTTCCTTTTCACATTTAAGGGGGTTTCCTCCTTGAGTACAAATCACAGAATTAATAGTTGGGAATTTGCAATTGAATTTTTGCTCTGTTTCTTTTAGGCATATCAATATCAGGCAACGGAGTACAGCTATGCCATTCTCCCCTGAGGGAAGCAAGGGTACACGGCACCGTGCTGCGGCGCCGGTCAGCCACAGCACGCCGCGGTCGCGTGCAGGCAGCTTCCCGTGGGAGCAGCGCGTCCCGCTCCTCGGCAGCTTGCCTGCACCGCTGTGCCTCTGCCTCCATTTGCTGTGAGAACGTGCTACCATTGATGCAGCATTTCTGCTACTTCTATAGGCAGGAAGTCACAATTTAATAATTAAATTAGTATAAGCTCTCAGTAGTCTTCGTGATAAATCGTTTTGAAAAACGTAGTTATGCATAATCACTTACAAAACTTTGTAGAGCCTACTGAAGCCTCTTCTTCAATTTTGCGTATTAGTTCACTTATATGATTTCAGTTTCCACTTGCAATAGCATAACCCCTTCTCTACATGCCTAAAGCTTGCTCGAAAAGCCTAGTAGAGCCAAAGTAGTTTCTAGATAAACTTCAATGTTTTTTGGATTGTGTCCTAAATTAAAACATGCAAAAATAGCAATTATCCTTTTCTCAGATCTGCTTTCTACATTTGTGCTCCAAGCTGGGGGTGGGTGGTTGGCTCGATAGCCGTTCCCTCTGAAAGTACTGTCCTCTAAAAAGTCTTAATAGCATGATTTAAAAAAGTTGATAATTGCATTCAAATGCAGACAGCCTTACTGACATTCTGAAGTTGGTAAAAATTATCATTTACTTTACATCCATTTGTTCCTGCAATGTACAAATGAAGGCGCATGCAGCATAAAGTCATTAAATGGCAACAAATAGAACCCCGTGGCATGAAACCACTGCTAAATTAGATCGTTCAGCTGTGCGCTTTACAAAAGATGAAAAACATTTCCTCATCTTAAAGAACAGAAAGTGGGACATAGCTCAAAAAAGCAGCATTGAAGATAGAATTTGATTTGAAGTCTTTCTCAACCAAGGGGATTTAAAACAACTTGTTTAAAGGGTGACATGCATTAAAACATAACGAAAGATTTCAGCAAAGGCTTTAAGTATCATCTGAGGACCTTTAGAATAAAAGAGAGATTAGTAGTATCAGGAAAGCCATGTAAACTATTTCATGTTCTCCTGCTGCTTTTTGGTAACCAACGTGATTAGTATCTTTTCTATATTTGAAGTTATTTTTATGAGTAATTTTTATTACTATATTTATAAATTTATAAATGTATAAATTTACTACATTTATTTTGTGTGTGCCAAATATCATTAGAAAATGTTACTGTGCAGAGCACTTAGCACTTCATAATAATGATTTGATTCAGTCAGCTAAACAAAATGACAGGGTATTATCTGCCATCAAAATCAGAGTCAAATTCAATGAACTGTGGGAATGAAAAACACCTGTCTTGAGCCAGAGCTTAATTTTAGTCATTTCACACCACCACTGCTTGGCATTCATTTGATTGTTTTTGAACAGAGAACATTTAATTCCTTCCACAACACTCATTGTTATAATATCTGAATGCCTCTCTATTCACAGTGGACTTATTTTCACGAGATTCTTAGAAAGCAACATTATCCTCAATTCACAGATGATGAATCAAATGTCTTCTGGAAATAAACCTACATATCTGAGTTTTAAGATAGCATCTGTACTGCATGATCATCCTTTCCCTCAAAAATATTTCTTATTGAAGGAGAAAGAGATAAGGTGGGAATGAAAAGGTATAATACACAGTACGTCTTCTGTGGGGACAAAACGCTCTGAAAATGAGAATGATATAGTGCTTTGGAGGGACAGTTGGGTGCTCTTGAAAGCCAATCAATCTTCTATGATCAGTATAAATAGATGTTATTCCAGCTCTACCCTATGCAGGCACACAGAAATCACTTCAGGATGCGAAAAGCAGTCAGTCCTAAAGTTCAGTTTCCTAAAATTTCTTCAATTCGTCAAAATAGTTTCAGGCTAACAGAAGTCTTCAAAGCCTCAGATTTTTGGCTCCTTGTTGCTACATACCCTGCATAGTTGTGGGTGTTACAGAGTGGTGTTAGGAGGAAACATTTAAGAGATGATACAAACATCTGCTCGCATGGTCTGAGCAGCCAGGTAGTCTACAAGGAAGCCTGAAGACTCAGCACCAAAGACAAGAGGATGCTATAGTTATTCCTCTTGTGGGCTTAGGTACCTCACTCAGTGCTCTAAGGACACGTTTCCTTGGGACTGACAGATGAAGCTCTCTTCTGAAAGCAGACACTTCTCTTCTAAACTAGGAATGGTGATAGCATTTGCTGTAATACTCTATTAGTGTTCATACCTTTATATAGGTACAATTTTCTACCAAAGGCTTTATGTTTACAACTGACTTACAACTGTCCCCACTGCTGAGTGAAAGATCATCTAGATGACATTGCTCTCTAGTCCACCGATGAAACCACCGCAGCCTGTGTGCTGGTTAATTTTCTTCATAGTTGCTTGTCTGGGGCTAGTATGGCGTTGTCTTCCCAAGCAGCCGTTTCACCTGATGCAGCACTGCTTCCCTGGAGGTGGCCGAACCCCTGCCTGCCGGCGGGGAGCGGTGAATGGATTCCTTGCTTTGCTTTTGTGCGCAGCTTTTGCTTTCCCTATTAAACCGTGTTTATCTCGACCCATGAGTTTTCTCACTTTACTCTTCTGATTCTCTCCCCCATCCCACCGGCGGGACACGGAGTGAGCAGCTGTGTGGGGATTAGGTCCCGGCTGGTGTTAAACCACGACAGCCTGGAAAAAGGCTTCAATTTTGGGGCTAGAGGGCAAGGACTCATGGTTGGGTTACTTGTTGGAGAAAGACGAGTTCTGAGCTCTGGACTATGATTCTTTTTTATCTGATAGACACGTAATGCTAGAAAGATGTTATCAGGTAAGAGGGAAATGAGCACATGTACTTAAATTCTGAGTGAGGTGTACCTTTGATGTCATAGGGGCGGGACACGGAGTGAGCAGCTGTGTGGGGATTAGGTCCCGGCTGGTGTTAAACCACGACAGCCTGGAAAAAGGCTTCAATTTTGGGGCTAGAGGGCAAGGACTCATGGTTGGGTTACTTGTTGGAGAAAGACGAGTTCTGAGCTCTGGACTATGATTCTTTTTTATCTGATAGACACGTAATGCTAGAAAGATGTTATCAGGTAAGAGGGAAATGAGCACATGTACTTAAATTCTGAGGTGTACCTTTGATGTCATAGGATTGTTCTGATTCAATAACATAGCTTTCAGTAGAAGCTGAATTGCATGATATTCACTTATGAAGAATTCAACTGCAGCAATAGATGTGCCAGAAGATACATTACAAGACCAGAAGAAAAGAAAAAAAAAAAGTATTATTTTACCCCAATACAAATGCCCACTTTCTCTCCAGGTTGAGAGAAAACTAAAGACCAATTTTGTCTTTAAAGTAGTAACTAACACAAAATACCCGGCCAATTAATGCTCAAAATGTTACGGACTTCTACGGATATTAGTTGAAACATAGCATGTTTTCAAACGGTTTATAAAATCTGCAGACATCTTGCCTACCTCAGTTTTACAGATGTATCTAAATAAAAAGAGGACCCTGATGTAGGCATATAACTGAAATATGTAAAAACTTTAAAAGAAAAAGGAAGTAGTTGTTTGCGCTATGGTAATAAAATATTTCTGGGATAAAAGCAGCTACATACAGCTTTATTTGCTCTGGAGTTTATCTTCACATAAATATACTTAACATGCACCTTTGCTTTATAGTAACTGTGAATGTGATCTCCTGCAATGCACTCTGAATGGGCATCTTTTATTAACTCCGTAAGCAATCAGCCTGCTTTGAGTCTGCCCAAGTTTCTGAGGATTTCTTGTTTATGTGGAGCATGTCAGAAGTTTCCCATAGCTATTGGCATGGTCATTATAATCCTACGATCGTGAGCTGCTAATACATCATGCAACACATCTGTTTTCCTGTGGGTGCAGCCAAAGAGGTTGCTGAAGTTGCCCTAAGCCTCAGTGCTGGGATGCAGTTCTTTTTAACATGCAGAGATTTTTTGATGAAAGAACATGCAGAAGCTGTTTTTTTCCAGTTCACAAAAAAGAGCATTTTGGAAAAGGTTAACATTTTAGTCACAAATTACTTTGTTTGGAAGGAAAAAAAGCCCATAATTAAAGACAAAGACTTATTTCTACCATTTGATGACAACTAAATTGTGTTTAATTCTATGACTGACTGAGATTTAGGCAGATTATACTTAAAGCCAGTAGCACAGATTTGGGGTTACTTTAAGCCACAGCAAAAATACATTTGTCAGTGGAATTATACCAGGACTGTGTTTGCCCATTTTATTTTGTTTTCTCTATGTTTATGACAGTGATGTTGTGGCAGTTGAAAAAATCACACGTATTATAAGATACATAAATATTCCTGAATGGAATTCATTACTTGATCATAGTACATAAAAATTTAATATTTCCCTCTACAAATAGCCATTCCTTTTATTAAGAAGTCTTTTTTTTTTTTTTTTCCCCAAAAAATAGGTAATGACATTTCAGAGAATATAAAATCTGTGTTTTTCAGTTCACCAAATATGAAAGTCTTGGGGAATTTCCAGGCTTTTAATAAAATACACTCAATTTCAAAAGCACAATTTTGGGGATGAGGTAGTTAGTGTTGGAGTGCAGCTGAAGAAAAATGGAAAGAAAGATGAGCATTTAAATCCAATCCTGAATTGTTACTGTCTGAACAGGTCCTGCTTCAGGAGAGCAAGTAACCCAGTGCTTTAGACAGTCCCAGCTTAACTGCTGTGCTGTACCAGAAAGCTTTCCTAAATTGAATACTTAGTAATTTTGTATTGACTTTTACAAAGAAAAAGCCTTCTGTTATATAAGGCTGAAAATTTTCCTAAAATGTGAATATTGTCTAATTTTGCAGAAAATATAGAAATACGTGTTAAAGTTACAATTTCAGGATCGTGACTGCACAGATGCTAGCTGACAATACACGTTTAAAAAAAGCTTTTAGAAGGGAATTATAGGAATTATAATTCCTGTTTTTGTTAAAAATTACTAGGATGGGATGCAAAAATATGTACGTTCATTGTTACTTAGGATATATCCCAAAAGCACTGATTCACTTTGCATTAACAACCTTCTGCATTACCTGTCCCACAGGGTTTTCTTTCAATGAAGTGGTTGTTTCAGGAGGGGAATGTAGGCTGAAATTAATAACA